TGCAAGCTGATGAAGAAAAATGCAATTTGAAAGAGTATTTAGAAAAGCAAAACATAATTATTTTTGTAAACAGTCGAGCACAATATCCTGTGTTTTGCGCTATTCGTTCATATTCATAATGTATTGTATTAACTATATGTATGCCGTAATGACAAGTTGAAGTAGTATCTGATCTTTTAAAGAAGTGCGGTGAGCATATTAATTTGAATATCTAATATTATTCAAATTGTTGTTTAGTTGCTTCTTTCAATCGTTTTCCAAAACCTTTGATGTGAGGGTAATATGATTGAAAGTCATCTTCAAGTAAGATGTTTATATAATCGTGGGTAAAATGTAAGTCATACAGACATATTATGATCAACCAATGATTAAACGTACAAATGTGTTGATTTTTATCGAACTTTTTTCTCAATCATTTGGTATAACGATATGAAATGTAAAGGTGAAAGTGAGTATATCTTACACTCATAATTTCATGACTACATAGATTTGCATTTTTGCAGTATTACATGAAGTTATTGCTGCGCATCTCCATTTTGTTTAGAGACGGCAATAACTACAAGAATTGTATTGAATGTTTTTCAGCTCGTCAGAAAGACAACCATTTAAGAATCCCCAATCAATACTAGTTTAATACAGTCGAATGACATTGTAAAATGACCAAAACAATATAAAGCATGTGTTTTATCTGTCTATTGTCTTCATTTATTATGTTGTTATTTTTTTGCCAGTTTTCTGAACAGGGCGTTATACACATTAAACATGGTTTTGTTACAGTTTCGAAAGAAAGAATAGTTTTTTTTTTAATTTCAACGCATCTGTATATAACTTCGAAAATACATTTTTTGGGGAGCATTCAGAAAAATAAATTGTACTCCGTGTGGAATAAGGAATCCACGTTACATAAAAGAAATATAAATTGTACTCGGTGAGGAATAAGGCATCCACGTTACATAAGAGAAATATTAAGAAGCATGTGTATAATATTAATTACATGTATACCAATGCATAGTGTTTTAAACGACATCATTAAGAGTATTATCAGTTTTTTTTATAATTCATACTTACGTGTACAAATGAATCTTCGTACAGTCCATGAGTTACCAAAACAATCAATATATTGGTATCCAACAGAGTTAAATCCACTATCACAATCATAGTACACCATAGTATCATTCTGTAGTAAATCGATGTGTAATGCTGCGTTTGGTACAGATGGCGGATTCATGCATTCTAGAATATCAAATTATACAATCAAAACAATCATTCATTTTATAGATAGAAAAGCTAGATATTTTTTTTAATCTGTTTCGAAATGACTATTTTGTCTCAAAATGTAACCGTTAAAATTACTATATTGTTTTAACAGTGTTTTAAACCACAGGTTCATTTAGCATTCAAATATTCAGATGAATAGTGAACGTATGCATATTTGAGATGATATTATCCGACAATCAGTTATAACAAATGTTTACAATTGACAAAACAATATATCAAGAAAATGAATGCATGTATACCTGTGCAGAAAAATAATGGATCCGTCCAGTTAAGGCTTTCTTGACATGTTATCTCACTATTACCAATCAGATTTAACCCTCCGTCACAACTATACCGAACAATGTTAACTGTAGATACACGCACAATTGTGATGGAAGTACCGGCTAATAATGTCGGATACGAACATCCTAAATAAGTAAAAATAAACCGTTAACAAATTTATATTTTTTTTATTTAAAAAAAAAATATTTTCAAGAAGTTTGACCTTTAGTAAATCGAAATATATCCATACCGGAAAATGCACAATTCATATTTACTTTCTAGACTGACAAAAATACATAAGGCATAAACTGTGTAGGAATCAATTAGCTGTACAAACTAGGTGGTTGCGACTAAAAACTTAATGTGTGTCACTACTTAACACAGACCATTAGTAAGATGGGTATATTGTGTGAATATGCCGATGAACACGGGTTATGGGTTTTCTCATTGTTGAAGGCAGTTAGATGAACTTCAGTTGCTAGCATCTACATTATTGTGTATCTCTAATTCATATTGGGTTTGAAATGAAACATCTTTAAAAATCTAGAAAAATCAAATCAGCTATTCGAAACACTGTAAATGTTGAATTATTTCTTTCTCTTTGTAAGAATAAGCTTGTGGTCGATTGCATGACCAAATAGTTGAAACTTTTCAAACATATCTCGTAGGAGGTAGTCGTCAAAATCAATTGTCCTGCCCAACGATCTTACAAAGTCGAATTGCATGCGTACATATTTATTACAATTTAGAATGAAACATTTTCTAATAATATGTTATGAATGCATTGTCCTGGTAATTACGTCAAAAACAAGCAAATTACAAACAAATGACTTAAAAATTTGAAAAATAACCATGCTCAAACTAAATGAAACATACCAGTGCAAACAAACATCGGAGGTGTCCATGCCCTGTTAGATTTACACCGCAAGGTATTGTCACCCACTAAAGTTAGTCCTTCATCACATTCGAAATAAAAAATCATATTATTCTGTTCCATTGTATACTTGAATGATGATCCCATGACATTGGATGGATTAGGACAAACTACAACAAAACAATTTCAGAATTTGTAATATGTTATTATGTTTTACTTACTAAAAGAGAATCATGCATAAGGCATGAATAATATAGTATTTTATACATCTACATTAACAAATTGCAATATTTTTTAGTGTTGAGCACTATTTTTATGTGATTTCATTTTCTGTGCTTTAGAACTGACTGGTCAGGTAAATGGTTTATAATGTACAGCTTCAAATTTTTATTCTGTTTCAATAAAAAAAAAACATGTAACGTAGGATATACTTCAAATAAAGATAAATAAAAACGGATTTACAAATCAAAATGATAAAGTTATTTAGTGTTCCGGTAAGGGCACTTCATAAAAATGTATATGTATTTTAAACATTGTAATACTTAGCGATAACATAAACTTACCAATACAAGAGAACAAAATAGATGACCAGGTAGTATCATTTTGACAAGATACTGTATTTGGCCCGTACAAGTAGAACTTTTTATTACATTTATAAGTCAGTTGTTGTTCATCGTGACGAATCAGAGGTATATTTACAACTGCATTTGCAACAGATGGTGCACTAGGGCAATCTACAAAAGTCAATGATGGCATTTATGCCTAATTAATAGATATACATCAAAATTGAAGATTCATTATGTATTAAAACAAAACAAAAAAATCAAAAATAAGATAGTATGTCATTTAGTTTTTTTTCAGTAAATACTGATATAGATAACCCAGCCACATTCTGTATGTGCCTGTGAAAGCCATGAACCTGTTATCCAGTGGGTACCGTTGGTTGCTGTCTGACATATTTGTGTTTCGTTTATTATTTTAGTAAATAGCAGACCGTAGGTTCTTTTGTTAGAGTTGCTTCACCTTTTGTCAAACCAGTGCTTTTTTAGATTGCTTTATGGTATGTGTTTTACTCACTGTTGACGACCGTATGTTGACCTATAATTGATAACAAAGTCATTTAGTATTTATGGATAATTGTCTCATTGACAACCGTGCAATATCTCTTTATTTTATATAGTCCCGTCTTTGTGCAGTGACCAGTATCTTTCTGTAAATATTTGGCTTGAAATGTGAATGCTACTGGCCTGTTGACTGTTACGAAATAAATGACTGTAAAAAATATCATATTCTATGCTGATCGTTTAAGTTTGGCAATTTAAATAGAAATAATGTGACAAACAGCTTTTAAAAGTGTTTTAATAATATTATCATCTATACTATTATACGAGAAGACCTCATTTTGTGTGTCGCTTCTCATCCTTCCCCAATAAATTAATCATCATGCCTCTGTGTCCTATAGGTACTATGCAAAGTCGCATTTGTCATCCATTCTTATGATTATTCAGTTTGAGTTATTTTGGGAGAAAAACGAAGAAAAAGGCGTCCGGATATTGTTTCCGTCATCAGACCGACTTTTAAGTCATACCCAAAACTTCCGATTTTAAACTTTAAAAGAGGGGGTAAAGGGTTATTTTCATGCAACGTGTTTTGCCACTTTTTATTTCACGTGCAGCGGTGCAAAAGATTCGTTATTCACCGTGTTTCTTGAAATCGATAAAAAGATCAACGTGCAAGAAATTTTTAATTGTTCGCTCATCGTGAAATGGCAATTTTATTTCGCGTTCTTCCGTGCAGATAACCCTCCCCTTTACTCCCCTCTTTAAACATAATTTTTATAATTACTCGGGGGACAGGACAATTATTTTCGCGTTATGCTGCATGTATACTATGATTATAACCCTATAATATATAGAGACTCTCTATATAATATAGCAGTAATCGCCGTGGAGAAGAAACTTGGAATTGATAGTTAATAGTAAATACACTTTATTTATATTGTATGTATGTTCATAGTATACAGAAACGCGAAAATCATGGAATTTAACAAAGAGCAAAAAAATAACGGATTTTGGAAAAAATGGAGAGGGCTTAAAATAATTGTCCTGTTTCCAAGTGCCTATGACTCAGTTTGATACCTTTTCTGAAATTCTGCAGACATACATTCTTTTACAAAAATTCAATCTACAACAGTATACATACTTTCAACCAAGCTCTAAATACCCGCGATTTCGCGGGTGTGTTCTAGTTATTTCTAATTTTTTTTGGTATATATCCAAACCATTACATGATTACACTGATGCCTAAAATTGTTTTTGAAAAAAAAAAATGTTTAAGAAAGAATTGAATACATGTTAACCGACTTCTCAAAATGACTAGATGAAAAATACAATTCACAAAATCAAAACTGACAATGTCTTTACAGATTCTTTTATAAATAAATGCCTAGTAAAAATAAGAATAGAATGTTGATTAAATGCACTTTTGATTCCAATTCCTAACATTGTAAACAATAACATTTATTCCACTTTTTTAACAGCAACTAAGAGAATTGAACTACAAAAACTTACCAGTACAAATAAATGTTGGATATGTCCAAGTCGCATCTACCTGGCATTGTGTGAACTTGTTTCCAATCAAAAGTAATCCAGTATCACATTGGTATAAAACTTCGAAATTGTTGCTGATCTGTTCAATTTTGTATGTAGCGTTCTGAACGCTTGGTGGTTCTGTGCAAGCTGTATGCAGGAAAAGATTCCAAATGAACACATCGAAAACAGCAAAACATTTTTAAAAAAAAGCTAAAAAAAGTTCTAACGATATCTGTTTTGTGATATTCATTAATATCTGTAATATATTTTGAAATCAAAATTTCTTTGCAGAATCTTCCAACCGTTTCGTAGCACCTGTGACCACTCCAGGTTTTTTAGTGGGGTTCGAGCTGCTAAGTCTTGAGGTTTTTATTAAATGATTTGTTATTCGTCTTTTCGTCCTTTTTCGTTTTTGACATGATTTTGTCAGTCCTTCTACGACTTATAAGTTCTTTTTCAATGCAATGAAAAGCGACTTGTCCAGATACTACTAAAATTGTTTTAATAATTCAGCTGGGAAAATATGTTTGATGTCTTTCAAAATCTTCAATTGCCATATACTACATAGATATACTGTATAATGGACGCAATTGTGTACAAATCGATTTTTTCTTCAAAATCTGTTATAAGCAATTGGCCCTTGAAAACTATGTCGGCCATTTAGGTTTTTTTCCTCGTTACTTTTGTGTAGTCGTAGTTATAGTCATACCAATCCACTTGTCCTTTTTATAAGTACATTGTTTACTGGCATACAAGGCTGAATGTTTAATAACTCATTATCATGATAAATAGTACAAAACCAAATAAACCGTAATAATTTTCGATCACAATAATTAATTTACAGATGAGATAGCAGATCAAATTACAACTAAAACTTACGGTATTGTATAAAATACATGCAAAATAAACGTGCATTAATAGACTGTAGCAAGGTGTCTCTAATTCGTACAATCTGATTAAATTACAGACACTCCATTTTACTTTCTTATCTTGTAGTTATGACATCAGCCAATGAAATTTCCGCCTTCATGTTTTTTGAAGCAGTGTATTGATTCTACCAAACCAGAGGATCCCGAAAGGTCTTTAAAACGGAAATTTCAAAAGGGCGTTTTCAGATATTTGTAAGCAAAGCTTAGACACACGGGATCTGTATTTTAATCAAATTGTAATTCGTACGGCAATACGTTTGGTAAGTTGAAAAGGAAATGACCAACATTGGTAGGTTCTATCTCTTTTTGTTTTAATTTACTTTTTTTACTATGTCATCTGGCAGTTTTTGCATCACAGCATTTCCTTTAAGGCCATTTCGTTCCCTAAATATTATGTAATTTAAAGCTTACATGTATAAACAAAGCACAAAGCAAGTCTTTGTATTAAACTTCCAAAAAAAGATCTTTTGCGGAAACATTTGGAAAAATCTAAAACATAAACTTACTATGAAATAAAAGAACAACCTACACGTAATTTGATAATAATTGTTAATCCATTAGTACTATGTGAACCTTATAAATCATATCAATATTAAGACTTCAAAACAATAGTATTTGGTTTACCATTTGTCTTTTATAATTCCTACTTACGTGTACAAATGAATCGCCGTACAGTCCACGAGTTATCAATACAATCAATGTATTTGTAACCAATAAAATTAAATCCGATATCACAATCATAGTACACCATACTATCACTCTGTAGTAATTCTATATGTAATGCTGCATTTGGTACAGATGGAGGATTCGTGCATCCTAGAAAATCAAATTTTAACAAATTTCTTTGCAATTATTTTCCGTCTTCTTTTCTTTTTAATGTCATAATATAAAATATCATTGGTTTCTGATTTTATATTTACTTTAACGATTGTTTATATTAAGTTCTCACTATTTTGTTGAGGCGAACTAATACAAATTATGTTAGCATCTTTGAATATTGAAATATGTATACCTGTACAGAAAAAATATGGATCAGTCCAGATAAGGTTTCCTTGACACGTGATCTCACTATCACCAATCAAATTTAATCCTCCGTCACAGCTGTACTTTACGATGTTAATTCCTGATACTCGCACAATTATGACAGACGTACTATTTAGTAATGTGGGATACGAACAACCTAAAAAGACATTAAGAAGTACAATGTGTATTATTTTTTCAATACACATATTTCAATAGTTGATCATTTGTTATATTCAAATGTATCTCAAAAATTGGAACAACTGATGATCCAGCTTCCATTATTTACGAATCAACAGAATGGTCAAAAACATCTTCATTTATGTATTTATATACATCGACTGTGCAAGTTAAGTAGGTCATTCCAGTAAACGGTCGTCAAAAACAGAGATTAAATGAAACAGAATTGTTCTAATTTGTTGTGTAGGATGCGTCAGCATGCTGCTTAGTCGGGTTTGCTATGTAATGTGTCGTTAAATCAACTCAAATAAGCAATTTCAAGATAAAATATTTTTAGTAATTCTGTTTTTTCTGTATTTTAAACAGGTTATACAATATGCAAGTTGCTTTTTGTAAGGAAAATAGCTGAAATATTTCAAAAAGCTTCATTAGAGGATCAATGTAAAATCTTCATTTAGAAAGCACGTACTCATATATTAATGTAGCTTTAAGTTCGTATACCTGTTCACCGTTAATATACAATTTTGTTTTTGGAACACATATTGAAATATGATTATCAATTTATTCGTACTGTGGATTCATTATTATTCGTGGTTTACTAATTTCCATGGACTTTGCAGGTACAGGTGATCCACGAATTGAAATGTTCAACGAGGTACACATTTCTATAGGCTTGTATGCAATATTTTGTAAAATCACGAAATCAAATATGAACGAACATACAATGTTTCTTTTATCCAAGAAAATTCATACCCTCCAAAATAGATAAATTCACAGTATGTAAAGTCAAAACAAGCATGAATAGTACCCATAAAACGAAAAAAAAAAATAGATAATAATCTTCAATGTTTCGTTAGAGACATTACACTTTAATCTACATGAACAATTGAATATACAGCTGATTACACATTAGTTCTTCTCTCACCACTGCATATAAACTTTTCTGTTGTCCATTGAGAGTTTGCTTGGCATGATATATAGGAATCCCCAATTATCGTATAGTCAACCTCACATTCATATAAGGCATTAAATGGTGTAAGTGTACTGTTATATATAGCTGGTTTTGCGTTTGATACAGAGCGTGGACTTCTGCAGTCAGCTGCAATAATATTGATTGGAATATTTACAACTACATATTATTGTATTAATAGCCCATGTGATTACTTGGACTCGTAGTTAGATAAAAAAAAATAAAACATTCAGATTTTGTTAGTAACATAGTTATACTTTGAGAGTAATTTGAACTAAACAGTAAATTGTACACAAGGGGATAAAACCAACATTCAACACTGTAATTAGATCTGTCTTTGAATATTGCTTTTATTATAAAAATATTGATTTAATTACAACCATACTAAATATTGTTGTTCTACATATATGCACTTTCAAGGTTCTACAATCTGTCGATACCTATATTTTGGCATTGGAAAATACCATGTTTTTCTCTGACTGTTTATGACGTCTTTAATCTAAAATCCATTGGATAATGGATGTTTATTGATTGATATTTTAGTCTTAAATACATAATTTTTTGAATAAGTTGTTATTGTTTTTTTAACTAGCTGTCAATAACTGCGAGTACTCTCAGATCTGTAATTTTTGTATTTTGTGTTGTAAGGATGTATAAGTACCCTGCCAAGTTCGGTCTGTTGATGTTTTTCTGCTTTGTATCGATGTAATGAGTTAAGTCCTTTTCAAATGATTTTTATAGTTTGTTCTTATGTTGTGCTGTAACACCACTGTCCCAAGGAGGGGGGTTGAGGATCATTAACATGTTTAACACCGACATATCCTTTATGTGTAGGTCCCAAAACAGGAATCTGTAGTTCAGTGGTTGTAGTTAGTTTATGCCTGTCAAAATTGTTTTCGAAAACTGTTTTGTTATAAATTAGGCCGTTAGTTTTCTCAAGTGAATTGTTTCATATTTCTTATGTATGGGCCTTTCATAGCCGACTATACGATATGGGTTTTTCTCACGGTCGCCTATAATTGCTATCATCCACACCATTTGAACTTTGGTAGAAAGTTGTCTCATTGGCAATCATACCACATCTACTTATTTTTATACTATGCATATTCAAAAAAAGTGTTTTGACAAAGTAACAAGTAAACTAATGAATTGACCAAATCTGTTCAGTGTTCTATTCATAATTATGTTGCATATAAGTCAAGGATGAACGAGATTCATCTTAATCAATTGTTTATTTTCTGTATAACACTATAAATGCCAATTGAATGTTTGATCTTATATTAAATACACTGTCCACTCTTTGTATAAGATGGCCTGTGCGATCGAGTATACCCTCAACATTTATAATGGGCAAATTGTTAATATTTAGAGATTGTGATAGAAGGTCAGAAGTCGGACAACAGTAACGATCGATGTGACGTAATATATTATAACAAATATGTTATTTGAATTTGTAACGTTTTGTTTAAATTTTAAGAGCAATAACGGATTATAGCTTATAAGATATTACAATATGTTTAAGCTTGAATTAGTAACGAATAGTACGCTTGTCAGAACATTTGGTGCAGAAGAAAGATTGTTGACCTGGAAATATGAAATTAGAAAAAAAATATATGTAACATATATATAAAAGAAAAAGAAAATAAAAACTTGGAAACTGAAAATAAATAGGACATATTTGTATTTAATACGGAAATTTTTTATCACATCGCTTTTTTCTTTGATTGTGGAATTCAGATATCTTTTGAGGTTTGATGTGGTGTTTCATTCACCTACACCCTACATCTCTTTCTATACGTATCAGAAATAATATGTTATTTTCATTCTGAGTTTTATTATCTCAGATTGTCGTTTTGATTTAAAACGCTTTCTTTGAAGTAATATTTCTAACTGTTGAAATACGTCATACGGTTAACAGGTTCAAATAAAAATGACATTTGATCTTTCTTATGAAAACAAACTTACGGATACATTCAAAATCGGGACCTATCCAAACTCCTGATGCCATACAAGTACTATTGTCACTTTCACCTACTAGAGTAAATCGGCTTTCACATGTGTAAAAAACTACTGATCCTTCATACGTGGTGATACCAGTAGGATAGTAGGCATTCAGCATAGTCGGTGGTGAATAACATTTTCCTAGTTAATACATTAAGGCATGAAACAAACGGACATTAAAAAAAATCGTGTCATTTTACATAGATTTAATCAGGAAAATTCATATTTGCAAGTGTTTTTAATATCAAATGTAATGTACTTGAAAACAAACGAAGGTTTAAAATCTTTTATTTTTATTCGAATATATATTATATATGTATATAGAAAATCAAAGTGAAATCTTGATATATGATTGTATTCTAAGTATATCCTATCATAATGTTTGTGTAGTTTTCATGATGTGATTTGAAATAATGCAAATAAGCAAGGTAATTTAGTTCCCTGTCCTGTATCTGTTTGACTCCGATACCCGTACATTGCAAGGCCGAGATCCAGCATTTTGATTCAGTAAACACTAATTTGCTGAGTACTTCGGTACAATCATGAAAATGTGAATCTGCATCAATTGGTACCGTTAATGTTATAAAAAGAAATAGGGTTAATCGTTAAACAAAATATGAAACTAAATTGAACCGGGTATTTTGTTTATGATTTATTTTAGTGTACAAATGCACTTACTTGAACAGTTGATAAACACTGTGCTCCAATTTCCACCTAGTTCACAGTAGGATTTAACTGACCCAACACCTGCTACGTCCGCGTAGGCATTTGTACATATATGAGTTGCTTTATGGCCTACTATCGTTCCGGTAAATGCACGTTTTGCTCCGTATAAATATGGAGGATTGCCGCAGTCTGCAAATAAATTTACCTTAATTTGACCTAAATGAAATGTGAGGTATGTGCCAATAGAAATAAATTCATAGATCGACATTAAAAATCATAAGATAATAATCCTTTCAACTAGCAAATTCAAAATTCAATCACAAAGCAATACCTGTTGCATGTATTTTTTTTTTTGGAAAATGCCCTAATCGGCTTTCGGACTGTGTACTTATAGTTTACGCTAATCAGCTAAGAACAATGTAAGGTATATATGAAACCATTAACTTGGACCAATTAGTCACCGAGTTTTATCTAGGGTGTACAGAAGGCAACTCTGCAATACACTACAAAGTCTGATAAACCGTGATAAAAAGAAAGGAACTGTCATTATATTATGGTTATTTGTTTGAACTTATTGCAACCTTTTGCTACTTCTTCCTATTTTGTAGAGATACATGAAATTGTTTTCAAAGGGAACTCAAACAAATTACTCACAAAATATGTAGACTCGTCAAAACATTGTTGTCATTCAAATATGTACGAATATAGATATATATTAAACCAAACAAATCAAATCAAACAATGTAAAATTAAAATACATCAAAATAAAGAAATTTGAAGACGAGTAGTTTACTTAACAAAAACACTTAAGGTTCAGCAAAATGTATCCGCCCCATAAAAAAGGATCTGCATAAAGATGATTCGTAATACAAAGCAGTTCCGGCTCTACATATGGACACCTTTTTCCTTTTATTTTGTCAACATTGAAATATTGACTTTGGTTTTTCCAATTTAATCGTTTGCAATTGCTTAATTTTTGGAGTTAATAATAATATTAGTAAATTATGATAATAATTAATTTAATTATTGTGTCACATATTGATTGACATACAAAACTTCATGAACTTTAAGTTGTTTCTAACTTCTTAATTTGGCAGACTGATTCTATATGATTTCACTTACGCTTCCACCAGCAATTAAAGCTCCCAAGATCCCAGATACCATTTTCGCATTTAGCATTAACGACACCCGTAGCTATGTAATCATCACTGCAAG